GAGGTCCGTGAAGTCTATGCACATCCTCCAAGCTGGGGGCTTTGGAACTAGAACAATGTTTGCCACCCACTCGGGATAGATAACCGGGCGGATGTGCTCGATCGCCGCCATTTTCTTGACCTCCTCTCTAACAAACTCGCGGCGATCGGAAGATAGGTGTCGTGTCTTCTGTACGACCGGCCTCGCTGCGGGATCGACGGCTAGCTTATGGCAAATGACCGATCGATCGATCCCGGGCATGTCTTCGGGTCCCCACGCAAAAATATCAGCATACTCCCTGAGTATGCTCAGAACCTCCGCTCGGAGCTCGGGGGTGAGGGCCCGACCAATCTTAATCTTCCTATCCGGGTGGTCCTCGGACAGGGGAACTTCTTCTATCTCCTCGGAAGGTTCGGGTTGTTCCTTCCGTTCTTTAGCCTCCTCCTTGGCTATAGTGTTCACCCGGGAAGACGGACCGGAATCGCGTCTGTTGACCGCTCGGGTGTAGCACTTCCGGGCGGACTGGACATCGCCACGGACCACACCGACCCCACTTGGGGTGGGGAATTTCATGCAGAGATGGGGCATGGAAATTATCCCACCGATCTTCATGATGGCGGGTCGGCCTAGGATGATGTTGTGGACACAATGGAGGTTGACCACAACGAACTCAAGCTCTGTCTTGATCGACTTCGGGGGGGTGCCGATCTCGACCGGGAGAGTGATTTTGCCTTCGGGGTAAATGAGGGCCCCGGTAAATCCCGACAGTGGTACACCGACCGGAGTCAGCTCCTTCCTGTCAAGGCCAAGCTTTTCGAATACGTCCAAGTATAGGACGTTCACACTGCTACCCGTGTCCACCATAACCCTCTGGACGTCCGTTCCCTTGACGTCGATTGTGACCACGAGCGCCTCTATGCCGTGGTCACTGCTGCTAGGTTGGTCCTCTAAGGTGAAGGTTATGGGCTCCATTTTTTGTCTTTTCCCGGTCTCTCGGGAATCCACGATCGCAACCGGGCAATTCGTCCTCGGCTGGGAAGCGTCTTCTAAGCCACCAAATATGACATGGATGGTAGGCTTGCCGACTGGGCGACTGCTGGTCGGGGGATCAGGGTCCCGTCGGTCTTCATGACGATCGTCCCTTCGATCGTCTCTTCGGTCCTGACCCGACCGATCGGAGCGGTGATGAGATCGCCTGTGATCCCTCCGATCGGTATTCCTCTTGCTTTCTTCTCTCTTCCCCACGCACTTGTCCAATTTTCCCAAATTGAGCAAATCTTCCAACAATTGGCGCAGGTGGGTGCACTCCTCGGTATCATGCCCGGCGCATCGGTGGTAAGCACAGTGCTTACTCTTATCAGGGCCGTCTCGATCGGGATGGGGGAGTTTGATGAGGTTGCAAGATTGAGCATACTGCATGGCCTCCGCTGCAGATCGGTTTAAGGCCGTAAACTCACCAGGCCTGGTGCGGGATCGGGGACGATCGTGTCCCGATTGATGTTCCGCCCGGCCGGCCGGTTTACGGGACGAAGAACCGACCTCTTGTGAACGTTTCACGGCATTCGCCTCACCAGCATTGGCGTAATCCGTGACCCTTCGGAGGGCCTCCTTGTATGTGGTCGGGGGGTGAAGGATGAAATCCTGATATAGATACCCCGCCCGGAGGGAGATGTGAAGCATGTGGGTGGCGGTCGCATCATCCATGGGTTCGACCTCCCCGACCGCTGCTTTCCACTTGATGAGGAAGTCGGTCAAGCTTTCCCCTTCGAGCTGCTTGGCCTTCTCGAGGTACATGTAAGACTTCCTCACCACTTTGGAAGTAATGAACTTCCGTACAAACTTGATCGCCAGGGTCTCAAATTTGTCGATCGACCCCGGGGGCAAGGTGCGGAACCACTCTGCTGCCCGACCGGTGAGGGTTGAGTAGAAGGCCCTGCACATCACGGCGTCTGAAACGCCCTTCAGCATCATATTGCTGAAAAAATCGTTCACGTGAGCCTCAGGATCTGTCCGACCGTCGTAACTCTTCTCTCCCGAGACCTTTAAGTCGAGCGGGTAAGGCTGAGCCATTACCGCTGCTGTGAAAGGCGTCTGGTGGAGGGTCGATCGGTCGGCCGGGGGTGCTGCAGGATATGCATTCCTTAGCTGCGCAACTTCCGCCTGGAGGTTGTAGAGCAACCCTCGGGTTTCGTTGAGCTCGGCGTTCTGGGCGGCTTGGGCTGTATCCCGAGCGCGTCGACGTCGATGTGATCTCGACCCGCTGTACCCGGACGAGGCCTCGTGGCTAGCTTCCCGCATTTGTTCGTCCTCTTGCCTGGGGTTCGGGTCCTGGGGTCCCAGACGCTGGCGCATCTCTGGTCGGAGGCGGTCGAAAGCTACCGCTCGGGCAACCTCTTCTGGGTCCTCCGCTTGAACGGCCTGAACTGGTGCCTCCATCGCGTCAGCACCCCCCGACCCCAACCGCGAATGAGCCGAGCGTCGAGCCCGGGAAGTGGACTGACGCTGCGGCTCTACTTGTGCGGTCGGCTGTACTGGAGGGGCGGCGGCTGGAGCTGTATAGGCAGGCGTATATGGTGGATAGCCAACCGGGGAAGTGTAGCACATCGGTTGGCCTGGCCAAAACCCGTATGGTGGAGGTGGAACCGGATACGGGTACTGGGCGGGATACATCATCGGCTGCTGCTGGTATGGCAGACCGGGTGGTGGGTATCCCGGTTGTATATAATTCACCGGCTGCTGGGCGGCCGGGTATGTATTTGACGGATGTGGCGGTGAGAGATTAAGGTTGAGGTCCATCGTCTGACCCTGCTGTTGGGTAGCATAGTGGTCGGAGGAGCTCGCCGCATCCGCCTGGTCGTCGGCGAAGTTGTTGTGTGCCCACGGATAGATGTTGGAAAAGGGACCGGGTGCTCGTCAAGACGTTGGCTTGTTGCACGGTCCCCACGGACGGCGCCAAAATGATACTGCTAATTCTACGTAAGCAATATAAATAACACAAGACCAAGTAAAGCAAGTAATTCTTTATTGATCAAGGTAGAGTTCCTAAGTACAATCTACTTGGTTGCACTGAGTACCGACTGACTGCGGTCGGGAGTCTCTAGTTACAACCTATCGATCGTCCAAAAGTCCTCTACACTGTAGCTACTGTGGGCATTTATAGCCGCTGTGCCGGAGACAAGATCCCAGCTGCTCGGCATGTCTTCCACGTAGCCACCACGTGTCCCCCTCCCGGGTGCCCTGCCTGTCGTCGTAGAAAGCCGCCACGTGTCTTTAGCCAGCTCTCTCGCCTAAGGACCACCGCTCGGGGTTCATAGCATCGCTCGGGCAACTCCCGGTCGGACCCCGACCGGGTTCTCCTCAAGGAGCCCGACCTGTTACCTGCAAAGACATAGACAAAAGGACAAAGGCATCTCGGTCGTGGTGAAGCTGGGTCGGTCGGGATATTCCCTACCAGACTCGAATTCAAAATGTCTAACTTTAATTTCTTACTCAGATTCTCAAATAAATTAATATAAAATGTTATAAAAACTATATATATAAATTCGAATAATAGTCGAAGCGAAATTGTATCTTGTTGATTGTTATGGTATGAAGATGTGTCAATCTGTCAAACAAGTATAATGGCTTGCTTATAGGCAAGTTATGCTCTGAAACTGTGGACACGGTTCTAAAATTGTCATAATTGTAGATATCGAGTTTAAAAATTATGAATATAAAATTTTATAATTATTAACATATAGTTCTGTAATTGTGAATATATAGTTCAATAATTGTGAATATGAAGTTCAAAAATGATGAACGTATAATTCAATAATTATAGACATAAAATTATGTAATTGTGAATACAAATTTCAATAATTGTGTGATAGGGAATATACTCCAGGTTCAAGCTCCCCGTACGCTCCGTGCTCCTACTTGGGTCGGGTCAAACGATTTAGGTCAGTGTCAACATGTCAATGTCAACCCGCCAACCATTGACCCTATAAATAAGGCCTTAGCCCTCCAAGTTCGGGGTTCCTTTCCCTCTTCCTCTATACACACTCTCTATCTCTAGAAGAGCAAACACTCCCCCCTCTCTCTATTACACACAAGAATTGTATTGAATAAAAAACCCTTTGAGCTATATCTCTCTTCTTCATACCTTCTTAAAACACATTACATATATTCTACGGGTACAACAGGGAATTAGTACTATCATTGTGAATAAGAATTTCAAAACTTATGAGCATAGAGTTCAGTAATTATGAACATAGAACTATGTCCACCTTGCAAGGTGGACACTGTTCCAAGGCATACCAATTGCTTGCTTATACCGTTATATTTGATAGTTTTAAGCTTGATTGCTTATGAGTGATCTATTGACTTTATTGAACACGAAAATTAAATTTTAAAAAGGAATAAAAGGAGTTAAATTGACAAAATAAAGGGAGTAAAAATTGGTCCAAGTATCTATGAAAACCCTATACTATAGTATTTTGTTCAATTGAGTCATTCTACATTAATTTTGTTCAATTCAGCCTTTGTACTTTTAAAAGTGAAACAATGAAGGACAATAGCTGATGTGGCGTAGACATTATATCTATCACATCATCATACTTACATGCCAACTCATATATTACTTTATAAATATTTAAAATTAATTATTTTTACCACCAATATATTACATGAATATGTCCAAAATAAATACATAAATATAAGCTATTGTCCTTAATTGTTTTACTTTTAAAAGTAAAAGGACTAAATTGAACAAAATTAAAATAGAATGACTAAATTGAACAGATATTATAGTACATGAATCTCATAGCCGTAAAAATTAAACATATAACAAAATAAACTTAAACGAATAAAATTAATTATAACAATATCGCAAAAAATCATGATATAAAATCAAATCATCAAATGCTAATAAGGATTAAGGAGTACATTTTATTTTATTTTTTGGTAATTAATGAGTACAGTTTTAGACGGACAACAAATTTAAGTAATTATTAACTAGCATAAGTCTATAACGAAACCAACTATTTTCAGTTGTTTTCTTTTTCTTTTGCTTGGGCGGTAGGACAGAACACACAAACGCGCCCTCCCCTTCTACTCTGGCACACGCTGTCCCCCTCTCCCAAAAACATTACAAATTTCAAAACTTCACTAGGGTTTTCATATCAACGATCTCTCCGGAATTCCTGCGTTGTATTCTCACAGCGATCTCAATCGAAGCTTACACAAATCTCCATGGCGGAAGAAGCCGTCCCTTCTTCTACATCGACGTCCAATTTGAATGCGGCGCCGCTGGGGCACTCGGTCATTCCTATTGTGAACAAGCTGCAAGACATCTTCGCGCAGCTCGGTAGCCAGTCCACGATCGAGCTCCCTCAGGTGGCTGTCGTTGGAAGCCAAAGCAGTGGTAAGTCCAGCGTCCTCGAAGCCCTCGTCGGTCGCGACTTCTTGCCCCGAGGCTCCGACATCTGTACTCGCCGTCCCCTCGTGCTTCAGTTGCTCCAGACCAAGCGGAAGCCCGACAGCACCGATGAGGAGTGGGGAGAGTTCCTCCACCTTCCTGGAAAGAAGTTTTTCGATTTCAATGATATTCGGAAAGAAATTCAGGTAAAATACGGGAGATTTGGTTATTTCAACTCAATTTTTAATCCAAAAAATTAGAATAAGGAATGTTTCAAACTCAAATATATAAAGAGGTTACTAATACTTGAATAAACGCGATTGCACCAGCTAAGTTGGGCGAACTCCTTTCTCCTAATAGTTGCTTCTAAGTGCCAATAATTTAATCTCAATTATTATTCACCTTGGCTGGCTTTAGGCTGAGACAGACAGAGAAGCTGGAGGGAACAAAGGTGTTTCGGACAAACAGATTCGGTTGAAAATATTCTCTCCAAATGTTCTAGATATTACTCTAGTTGATTTGCCTGGCATAACAAAGGTCCCTGTTGGTGATCAGCCTTCTGATATTGAAGCCCGTATTAGGACAATGATAATGTCATATATTAAACTCCCAAGTTGTCTAATACTTGCTGTTACACCGGCCAATGCTGACTTAGCCAATTCAGATGCCCTCCAGATTGCCGGAAATGCCGACCCTGATGGTACAAAATGCACTTAATATTTAGTTGACCAACAAAATTGAATGCAATGTGTTAATGATTCTGATATGTTACTCATTTCTCTGTCAGGTTATCGAACCATTGGTATAATCACAAAGGTGAGATACACTGAAATCAAATTCTCTTTTGTACATGTGATCTAAAACTTGCACGTTTCTAATTTGCTGTACATTGTTCTTTGTCTTTTTCCTCTGATACTTCAGTTGGACATTATGGACCGGGGCACTGATGCTCGCAATTTTTTGCTTGGGAAAGTGATTCCACTTCGACTTGGTTATATTGGGGTTGTAAATCGTAGCCAGGAGGTATTTTTTTTTCATCTTAACTTGTAGGAAACTCTGCATTTTATGTGGCATATATCAATATGCTAAAATGGCTGCCATATTGATGCAAAACATTGAATTATGTATTATGTATATTTAATTTGAAGCAGGATGCTATATGGTAAAAGTATAAGTGTGCTGTTTTTGTGTGAATAAATTTAACAAAAAGTTATATGTGGATTTGTGCATTTGTATCCCACTCAAATTGTCTGTATATGTGAACCAGGATATTCTGATGAATCGGAGCATTAAGGATGCACTCATTGCTGAGGAAAAGTTCTTCCGCAGTCGTCCTGTATGGCAGTAGTCTGTTATTGTGTTGCTTTTTACTATTTGGACCTTCTTTGTGATGAGCCACTCTCATTTTTAATAATTGTCTTGGATGAAGGTTTATAGTGATCTTGCTGATCGTTGTGGTGTTCCTCAGTTGGCCAAAAAGTTGAACCAGGTGAACAGTTCAATACTAAGTTGTCTTCATGTTTGTGCATTTATAAGATATTATTGAAAAGAAACAAAGTTCTGCCATCAATTTTTTTATTTTTATTTTTTATACAGTGTGAATACACCTAGAAATTAGCATCTATTAATTTTGTAAATACTTGTTGTCTTTTGGATGCTAATATCTTTTTTATTTTGATTATCTAATATTCTTTTAGTGTGCTCCCTTGTATAAGGTTTATTTTTGGCATTTGGATGCTAATATCTTGTTTTTTTTTTCCCCCCATATCTAATATTCTTTAACTGTGCTCCCTTTTTATAAGTACCTATATGAACAACAATATTAGTCATCCTCTACCCTTCTTTGCAGATTCTGGTGCAACACATCAAAACTGTTCTTCCAGGCTTGAAGTCACGCATTAGTGCTGCACTTGTTTCTGTTGCAAAGGAGCATGCTAGCTTTGGGGAGATTACTGAGTCAAAGGTAGCTTTTGTGTTAACTTGCATAAAATTATGCATTGTTCATTCATGATTCTGGATCTTGTTGGCTGACTTTTCCCATCTTTGAGTTATCTAATATTTTATTTAGACAACTTGATTGTTTTCAAGCTTCCAGCTGGTTCTTATTACACATGTATAATTTCTTTGCTATGTCTATACATATAGGCTGGTCAAGGAGCACTGCTTTTGAACATTCTTTCGAAGTATTCTGAAGGTATTTTAACCATTTTATTTTATTTTATTTTTAGGGGTCAAATAAGTCCTTGAATTTTTCTAGAAAATGCAATTAGAGCCTTGAACTGAAAAAAAAGCTTTAAATAGATGCCTGTAAGCCTAAACTTGAAAAAGAGCAACTCACCCCTCTTGCCTATAAACATCTCGTTAAATGCCACATAGGATGCCAACTCATATATTTATCATGTTTGTTCTACACAGGACACTGACTCATCTTCAAAAGAATTAAAAAGTTCACCTCCCCTTTTTAATTAATTAATTAATTATTTATAAAGAAAAATTGTCATGCCTGCCATGGCAGTTGAAGTTTTAAAAAATTATTATTGTTTTTGTTATTATTTTAATGTTGGATGCCATGTCTATAAATACCAGCACATCATCTACTTTTTAAGGGCTGCTGGTTGTTTTAGGGTAAATTAGTAAATATGGTCCAATTGATCTTCTTTTCCAAGTTCAAATGTCTATTTGTAGCTTTTTTCATTCTGAGGGTCCAACTGCATTTTTCAGTAATGTTTGAGGGCTTACTTGATCCTTATCTGTTTTTTTTTTTTTTTAGTAGTGAAGATATTTGCCTTAGATTTTAAACATATTCTGAAGACTGCTGGACCCTATGATAGTATTTAATTTTTGGTTTATCTCTTGAGCCATATTCAATGTTCATTTCTAACTTGAATCTAGAATGGACTCATAAGCTCTCTCACTATCATAAACTTGTTGGCATCTTTGTTTTGGCAGCTTTCTCTTCAATGATAGAAGGGAAAAATGAAGAGATGTCAACATCTGAGCTGTCTGGTGGTGCAAGGATTCATTACATTTTTCAGAACATATATGTGAAGAGTCTTGAGGTACCTAAAGTGGATTTTTAGAATTATCTTTGCTACTTTTTGGATTTTCAAATCTGCATGAGCAGAGCACATCAAATTCTAACAGCGGTATATACTCATCTCCATCTATACCTTAATGGGACTCAAATGGAAGGTTATGTAATAGGAATTAGAAACTATTAGGAGTCTATGCCCATCTTCACACTTTGAAAGAAGATGCAGTTTTTGGATCATGTATTTGTGTTGTCTTTTATATAAATTCTAGCTCAGTCTTCTTTTTTATGATCAAATCTTTACAGCTCTAATGGAGTGTGAACTAGATCATTACTTCTAGCAAGTACATTGTGGATCTTAGAAGGGGCTGTATTTTAAGATTAAGAATCGCGTGGCCTTATAATGTCTTATACTCTTTTATATAACTTCCAGTTCTCAAAGTATTCTTTCATGTTCTCTTTATTTATATAATAAATTACAGTTTGTTAAAGTATTCTTTAGCCTGAAAGATTCAATTGGGTGTGAACCATATCATAACATTGAGCACTTCATTTTGGATCTTATATTGTTAGATTAGATGCACTATCAATTTTTCGTTCTGAACTTTTCTATATGAGTAATTGTTTACTGGCTGATTCTGGATCAAATTTGGAATCATTTGCAGGATGTGGATCCTTGTGAAGATTTAACTGATGAAGATATTCGAACTGCCATACAAAATGCAACTGGTCCTAAATCTGCATTGTTTGTACCTGAAGTAATCTCAAGTGTCCACTTGCTTAAAAATTTGTATTTTATATCTATTAATAAAGAGCAGAGTATCTCTTCTTATATGTTCATGATTTTTATTTAATTGACTTCAGTTGGCATTAAATTTCATATTAACCTTTTAATACAAAGGTACCATTTGAAGTTCTTGTTCGAAGGCAAATAGCACGATTATTGGATCCTAGTCTTCAATGTGCAAGGTTTATTTATGATGAGTTAATAAAGGTAGGTGTGGCAAAGTTTTTGTACTTTACTGTTGCATGAGGATTCAATTTATAAGTACTTTGTACTTATTCCAGAGTTCACCTTACAGATGAGCCACCGTTGTATGGCGAATGAATTGCAACGATTTCCGGTTTTAAGAAAGCGAATGGATGAGGTCATAGGAAACTTTTTACGAGAAGGCCTGCAGCCATCAGAAACTATGATTGGACACATTATTGAAATGGAGGTATGTCCTATTTCTGTTCCTGCCATTCTTGTGTACATGATATTATACTCATGGAAGATTAGGCTTGATGTAGTAGCAAAGTTCACACTTTTGTACCATTAGTTCATGGCTCAAGCCTGGGAAATACTACATTCTAAGCCTTCCATCTCCAAACCCCTATATGATGTGAATTCTAAGATCACTAATTCCAACTTTTTTTCATTTTTCATGGGGTGACCAAATTGGTACATTGGCCTCCCTTGAATGGTGTTGAATTTTGCTAATTCTTGAACAAAAAATTATAGTGGCTTCTGTTAGTGGTTGGATTAATGTGAAAAGCTTGATGTCTATGGCTTTGTAAGTTAGACTCACTATCCTCAGTTTCTTTTGTCAACAAACAGTAGATTTCACAAATAACTATATTGCATCTCCGGATCTTTGTTTCTTTATTCCAACAGTGTATATAATACTGCAAAACATTGTTTTTATGTTTTTAAAAAATCTTTTGTTTATTTATTTATTTATCGAGAATGTGTAGCTAAATTTGATGGTTTTGTTTTCTAGATGGATTACATTAACACTTCCCATCACAATTTTATTGGTGGGAGCAAAGCTGTGGAGATGGCACTGCAGCAGGTTAAGTCCTCCAGGATTGCTGCCCCCGTTTCAAGGCAAAAAGTAAATTTATGACTTGCTTTTATCATTTTGTGTCATTACTTTCAATTCCATGGTCTTCTAAGCCCAGTCACAAGTATGGTTTGCATATTGCTTATCAGGATGGAGTGGATGCAGATAAAGCACCAGCATCAGAAAAAAGTTTCAAGCCTCGTGCAATTCTTGCTAGACCTGTAAATGGAATTGTTCCAGAGCAGGCAGGTTTTTATTTATTTTTAATAATTTATAAGCTTGGTATAGGATATACAGGGTGAGTGGCTGGAGAAGGGTGTTGGGGGCAAGAGAGAGAGGGAGAGAAGAGGTGGGTGAGGGTTTTTTTTTTGGGGGGGGGGGGGGTGGGGGCAGAGTAATATTTTAATGCTAATTTGTTTTGTGGATTCTTTTACACTTGCCCACCAAACTCAGAATCCTGTGTCTGCAACTGCTTAGTTTCCGTGATAGCCTGCCATGAACTGTCCAAACTAGTCACAGTTTTACGTTGACTTCTAATATAGAATATATCTTGTTCAGCTGCTAGCATGGGTATAATTCAGCGCACTAATTTTGGTGTTCCTACTTGTTTGCATTGTAAACAGGGTGTTCGGTCTGCTCAAGAAGTTGAAAAGCCCACATCTGGTAAAAGTTGTTTTCTTGAAATACTCTGCTAATATTGTATTCTTATCCTTGCCAAGTATTTTTTGCATTAACTTGCAATAAGTGCTTCTACTTCATCATTTTAGCTTATAAACAATAAGATGCACTTTGACATATCAATTAGATTGCTGGTTCTTTGTTCTAAATGCCTTAATTGACATGGTTCTCAATTAGGAGCTACTGTTGGTTCAAGTTGGGGAATATCATCAATATTTGGTGGGTCTGATCATCGTACATCTGTTAAAGAAAACTCAACTAGCAAGCCTTTCAGTGATCCTGTCCAGAGCATGGAACATTCTATTTCTATGATTCATTTGAGAGAGGTAGGCTTGCAAAGTATCTACCTAATATATACTCCGTATCTATTTATCCTTTTGGTTGTTTACTTGATTGCCTTAAACTAATATATGTGTATATATATCTGATTCTTTTCCTTGAAGCCACCAAGTGTCTTGAGGCCCACAGAAACCCACACAGATCAGGAGACCATCGAAATAACTGTCACAAAACTGTTGCTGAGATCATATTATGACATTGTTAGAAAGAATATTGAAGATTCTGTACCTAAAGCAATCATGCACTTCCTGGTAATTATGACGTTTATGTTTTGCAATTTTCCTTGAATGTTTCTTCAGTTCCCACGAGTAAGGTAAATGAGCATTTTCAATGCATGCCCTGTTTGAGTTGGATAGCAATAGCTTGACTTTTCTAGTATCCCAATAGAATTTTCCGGTTTATTCAAGTTAGTGATTGGAGAATTTGTACTTCTTCTGGCACTAATGTTTCTTATTCTTTTATCAGGTAAATCACACCAAACGAGAACTGCACAACGTATTTATCAAAAAGCTTTACAGGTATTTATAGGTTAATATTCATTAAAATGTGACTAATGTGTAAGAGTGAGGGTCAGTGATCACAATCTACCAGAATTTTGGCTTACTGAAATTGTTCACATGCTCATTGTTTCCTGATTAAAGTTCCCTCAATGGTTGAGCTTTATACCATGCAAATGCCCCTTTGCTCTTTCATGTGTGTTACAGTTGATCTCCTAAAAAAGTTGCATGCTATTGCATGATAATTTATTATTATTATTGCAAGTTTTTTGTATGGTTATTTCAACTCACCTGTCTCTCCATATGGCTTGAATAGAGATAACCTCTTTGAAGAGATGCTGCAAGAACCTGATGAGGTAGCTACAAAGAGAAAGCGCACTCGTGATACACTCCGTGTACTTCAGCAAGCATTCAAGGTCACTTGTTAATCCATTATGCTTTTAGATTTATAAAATATCAAGTATAGATTCTTACATTTCTATGAATTAACAAGAAGATAACATTGTAGTTTTGCAGTTCAAGGTCACTTTTTTTTTCGCTTGGAGGTGGGGTGGGTGGGGGGTGGGGGGGAGGTTGACACTTGTGACTTTTACTTATCTACATGTCATGATGTCAAAAGTCATTGTAGAAGATTTTTTCTTTTGCGTGCAGACGTTGGATGAATTGCCACTTGAAGCTGAGTCAGTTGAAAGAGGCTATAGTTTGAGTCCTGATCCAACAGGATTGCCAAAGATCCATGGGCTCCCCACATCCTCTATGTATACTACTAGTAGTTCAGTGGATTCATACACTGCTTCCCCCAAGAACCCAAGATCACGCAAATCTTCACATTCAGGGGAGCTTCAGTCACCCATGTATTATGTTGGTGGAGATTCTAATGGCAATGGACGCAATTCTCTTCTGGGACTTTACCCAACAATTGATGCATAAGAATGCAGAAACGAACAACATTGATAATTTGGATTTATTTTATTTCCCTCTCCAACATTATTGCAGAGGCATGCAGGATCTAAAGCTCTGGATCTGGTATGATAGGAGAGTTGCTATTCTTTTATGGAAAGATGATGCTTAGATGTATAATATTATGCCTACGGCCTACACATGTTAGATATTTTTTGGTCCCTATAGCACATCATATATGCATTAGTATAGGCTCTGGAATGAATGAATAATTGGTAGCTGTGTGAACAGAAGCTGCAATCAGTTTTGTTTTTATTTTTTGTTATGGGTTGTGGCCAACTGCTGCCTGGTATTTGAATGCTTACACGTTTAAGAATTCCTAAATGTAACTCTTATCTTGTTGGGGATGTGTGACATCTATATATTGCATTTTACAGTCAATAAGCAAGATGTACAAATGTGAAAATGCACTATAAAAACTGTTTTAAAATCCAAATATTTGTTGGTGGAAATCCTAATGTAAAAAAAAAAAACATTTCGCACGAATTCTAAAATCATGCACTGGTAAATAAGTGTAGCTCTCATTAAGTAACCACATACTCCGTATTTACTAAGATACATAATTCTATGTACATTGAGAAAGTTGTTGATGTGTTCAGATTTGAATGATGCATCATCCTCTGACTGGACAATTGGTGCGATGAAGAATAGATGATCAGTAAAAAGAGTATAAGTATGAAAATAACTTCACTGTTCAGCAATAGGTGCTGAATTGCCACCGTTAGTCATAATGACATTGGCGCCAGTCAAGGCATCAGGACCAATAGCTTCACCATTGAGCTAACACACAAATATAGAAGAAGATAGGGAGTAATTAGCATTCTCAACAAAAGTGCTACAAAATGATTAAATGAAGAAACATTATCTTAGATTAAGGAATGTACCTGTCCACCAGCCTTCACATTATGATCCTGAACTCCAGTAGTTGGAACTTTTGAAAGATCTCTTAAAATCCCCTGTCAAATTTAAGAGTCAGAAAATTTTGGTATGCAGCATGTGTTTATTCAGTCAATAGTAGCAGAAATTAAATGTTTTTTAATTTCAATTTTTTTCTCTTGACTCGAAATCCTGAGAACATACAAATGCAAAGATTTTTCATGATGAGTAAGTTCACCAAACACAAACTAACCTTGTTGGCCCACTTAAGTCCACATGCATTGCAAAGAGACCTTGGTCCAGCTGGTCCACGACGCATCATAGGCGTAGATTTTGAACTATTTCCACAATGAGTACAGCTATGGAAAAAAAACACAACAAAAATCTCGACTTCAAATTGAGTTTAAGATTGATTAGCTCCAACAACCCAAGAAATTGAAAATATTCAACAAGTTAGAACTCACAATATTTCCTGCTCTTCCTGTCCCGAACTGGAGTTCCTATCAGCAGAAGATGAACCTGCTTCATCACAAACCCATTTAGAAGATGTAAATTGGCCCTTCTTGCGTTGCATCCTGTAACAGACAGACTACATAAGATTATGGAGACAATGATTTTCATTCATAATCATAAAAAAGTTGAGAAAGGCATATGCTCATTATTGTCATTATTCAAGAATTTTGAATAGGCATGTATTGAATCCCAATAATTCAAAAGTGAAATTATATAGCCATTGATGGCAATCATACACCCAAGTAAACTAAACACAATGCCACCACATGGGTCATTAAGATTGAACTTCATGCCCATTAAGATTTTTCATTTGTATTTAGCTTGAATGTTCATTTGGTACACCTACATTGACATTAGTGCATGGTACCAAGATCTGTAAACCCAGGTACAGGATATAGTGCACACCAGCATCTCCCCAAGCAAAAAAAAGAGGCTTAAAGAAATGCTTCCACTTCTAAATGTTCTCTTCAATTCCCAATGGCCAGTTAGCAAAATACTTCTTTAATCAGAACCAGGACATGACATCTCCTTACTAGGTCTGAAAGTGTCATATTATAACAGCAGCAACAACAAAACATACGGTGGAAGGCAAAAACATGAGGAAACACATTAGGCAGGAATTTACATACATGGAATAATAACACCGATTTTCTCTTCCTAAAATAGTTTTCATGACAAGGAAAGTCAAAATCAAATAGCAAAGAGAGAAAGGGCCGTTGCATTACCTAAGTGCAACTTCCTTCCGTACAGTATAACGGATCTTCTTGTCAAAACACCGTTCTTTCCTTTTTTCCCTAAAACGATTCAAAGAAGCTATTCTTTGAGGCTGACTAAATCTTCCTGGGTACTCTCCCATGCCCTAAGGACATGGCAGTAGAGATGCTTAGAATTTAGAAAATTGCAAAACAATCAAATGGTTACTTAATTATACAGAGTTTTAATTACAGATGAAATACCCTATGAGTTTGGGGAGCGACTGCTGCAGCGGGAATGCCTGAAGGCACTTCATATCCACCCAGCAGCAACAACACTGCCTGAACCTGAAAATAAATCAGTCAAGAAGACTAGCTTAGTTATCAAAAAAAGCACACATACATACCAACTATGCAAACTCTTAGACAAATGCATGTTCACAAAAATAATTGAAGCTAATGATCTCTCCTGCTTGGATTACAACACACAAGTGTTCTGCAGCTGAAAAATCAATCAAAACCTGTGTCCTGTAACTCAATCCATTTGATACAAACCTACTTCAAGAAGGGACCAATTTTTTACTCACAATTCAGATGAACGCTAAAGAGCCATAGTTTTCCCGGGAAAACACTAGGAGAACCTCAACTGGAAAGAGGAAATGCAAAATTTGAATTACTTAGATTAAAACGAAAAAATGATAGGGCAAATACACAACTATGAGCCATATTCATTTTAATCTAAAAAGATAGATACCTAAAAAAACGAATAAATACCTTTTCCGGAGAAACAGCATCGAAAACATAGACTTCACCCTGAAAGGAGAGTGTAAGCTGATCGGCCGCATCTCCGGCGGCAGGAGCAGGAACGACATCCGAGCCTCCGGGAGCGTAGACTCCGTGAGGCGAAACGCCCTCCGCGCCGTTCATCGCAGCGTCCATGGAGCCGTGGAGTACGAGGGCGTGAGATCGGGGTTCGAATTGGATGTGAGGAGAGGTGCCGTCTACGGAGTCTTCACCTCCTCCGCCGACGTCGGTGACTGAAACGCCATCGTCATCTTCTTCTTCGCCGTCATCAATCGGAGGCGCATGGTGCTCCGGCTCCGCACCGTACATGGACATGGTAACTCTACTAATCGCCTCAGCCATTTCCCTCTCGTATCAATTTCACTTTTTCTCTCTCTTTACTCTTTAGCACGTACGGAAAGTGCCACCTCGGACACACCGCACGGAACTATCAAAGTTCCCACCGTGAAAAAGTAAAATGGGCCCCTGGCTTGGAAGAAATTTACCATAATTGCCACCGGGCGGGCGTACTGTAACATACTAACATGACCTTACAACTATGATCTAACTACTCCATATTAAATAGATTACCATACTATATAATATTATATACGTGCCATTTAACATATATCCAGATTGATTATACTATACTAATTTTAATAAATGCTGATATCATACTATTTCAACTGAAATTTGGTCTAAGTCTTACCAAAATCTTGTCACCTTATAAAGTCATTTTAGATTTTGGGTATCCAATTGATTTCTCTTTTTTTTTTTTTTGCCTAAAAAATCCCTTCACTCAATAGCCAGAAGACTAATCCCCCGTCCCGCACACTAAGTGGTAAGAGATTGACCAAATGGTTTACTCCATTCACATGGGTAGAGATCGAACCCCCAACCTCATGCTTAAGGGACGAGGTGCTGAATCACAACACCAGCCATGTTGGTTATCGAATTAATTTTTGCATCTTCATAACATCATCTAAATACAATTAATGCTTGTTTGTGTATCATAACAACATTCTCCCAAAAGGTTAAATTCCCAACCCCAAAGGCCCTCACTGAACATTTGAGAAGATATAAATCACAATGACTCAATGACTCAGCAGACATGACCAAATGTCAATGCACACAAGGGATCTACCCACTTGAGCATAACCCACACTGTGACCGCCGAGGTTCAAATTTTGGTCTCTTTTTTCAAATACTGCCTACTGAACCATGAACCATTAAGCTAAGCCGGCACCGTAACAACCTGGGAGTATCTAATGATGAGTCATGAGTGGATGGAACATGTGCTAACATCTTTGAGGCTCTGGTTGGGATATTAAGTGCAGCCCAGTCGTCATAGTGTTCATTGTTCAAATTGCTCATTTGCACTCATACCCACAGGCCATAGCACCGCAACCGCGCCTGAAGACTTCTCATGTAGACTTTGGAGTTTAGTAAACATATATTTAAGACTCCATATGAGAAGTCTTAAATCTAATTCTCATTTTCCTCAGTTGTATCAATATACACACACATTTAGGTCAAATAAGTGCAAACCAACATATTTAACAGCATTTATATACCCCTCTTCAGATTTCAAACCATGAAGCCTGTGGACCAGGTGAAAAATACCTTCATCACTTCAAGAGAGGAAAAGAAACAAAAGCATAGTTCTTGCAAGAAATAAGTCCGCTATAGACTAAAAATAAAAATAAACTACCAATAGGTCTCAAGAGTCGAGATTTGTGCAGATGACAATGATGCTAGCAGACAATGTGATTCACAGACAAAGGGGCAGAAACGTAACACTCTCCTCTACTCAACCAAGCATTATCAAATCCATCTTCACTTTGAATGGTATTCTCAGCCAGAACGATCCACAGAATCCCTACAATACCTCATCCAAAGTCCCAGGACTATAGTAAAGAATTTGAATTACTTGCCAATTTAGTGATAAAAGAAACAGTATATTTACGGTGAGGAAAGTGCACCGAGAAATAAAGATGATCTATGTGAATCATCTAAAAGAGAGAGTTATGTAGAACTTTGCAGGAATTTCATCCTTGACAGGACCACAATCATTTGGGTCAGCCATGTGAAACACTTGTACTTTAACCAGAAACCTTCATGCTTTCTATCCACCACCAAACTCAAAAGGCTTTGTGGTGATATATTCAATTATTCATCTAGATAGGAAAGAACAGTGGATAATCTTTAAAAAGTTTCAAAAAACCATAACTATAAATAGAAATGAGTCAATTAGTTGGTATGTTATAATTTAGATATGAACGGCAAATGTTGCACATAGATATACACTAATGAATGGAAATTACACAGTACACTTGCTATGTAGCCACCAAAATAGATTATAGCACAACTATATCTATATGACCTTTTTTTTTTTTTTTTGCAATCATTCTTGTCATTTGGTGTATGAGTTCTCTTGTGAAATAAAAACTACCATTGACAATTGACACTTATTAGTGAGAGAAAGCATACCTAAAAAATAGGAAAGAATAAACAGCCTCAACTTTATGTACAACAAGAATCTAATCCTGCAGCCTCAGGCGATGGAAGAACATCAAGAAGTGATACTCTGGGGCCCAGTACACAAACCCAACAACAGGTCCTCCTTTGATGTACTGCAAAAATTAAGTCACAGTGAACTAATGTAGGAAAAATGAAATCTAGGGGGTCAAGAGACTGGCACACGAGAGAAAGTAAGCCACAATGGCATGGAACAGCAAGAGGATGAACAACAGATCTGCAAACCTTTCCATCCAGGATAACAAGTTCTCCATCAACCCAACGGGGATTTTGAAACCCTGGCTCAGCCAGCCTTCCTTGTCCCCTATATCGAGCAATCTGGATTGTCACAGAGAGACACTTTATATGAATGCAACAGAGTTCTTTATTCTTATATTTATTATATTAAAAAAAAAAAAAAAAAAAGACTGGAAGAAACAAGAATTGAGTAGAACTGCATGGAAAAACATATCACAGGTTAACCACATACCACACCAAATTCTTCAGGAATAATCCCTTTATGAGGAAGTTGGTTCTGTTTTCCAACTTTTGCACGGAAGGCTATCTGCAATGGCAAAACAACATCGGTATAATTTGACAAGATATTAATGTTGAAATCATAAGCAAGTGTTTTTAAGTGGCAAAAGAATATCTAGAAATATTACAGGTAAATAGAACTAAACGGTTTAGTTAATTAAAATAATAATTAAAAAAACCTGGCCAGCAGGGACATAAGGATCTCCAGTTAATTTTACAGCTTCAACATATTCATAAAATTCAATATTAGATGAATTCTTTGTGATCTTGTCCTCTTTCCATTGACCAAATCTGCGCCGTAGGTGGATGACTTCAGATCCATAGAGACCTTGGGTACCAATATATAGTCCTAAAAGAATCAGACTATCCTTGATTAATAAAGAGTAAAGATGATAGAGAATAACAAAAATAAGACAGACAATTAGTGCATTAAAGACTTAAAGAGCATAAATGAACAGTAAATAGTCAAGAATCCAAGCAGGAAGGACTTAAAAAAAAACAACAAAAAACAAAAAAAAAAAACTATCACCATTTAGTGGGTCTGTCGACAGTGGAATCTCAATGCGATTGAAAGTAGTTGATTTGGACAGTAGTTGATGATTTCGAGCCTGATTTAGAGTAAGATTAATCAACTTGCCAACATCCTTCAGCATCTGCGTGTTTAATGCACAAATGACAAATCAATAGTAATCATGAATAGTAGGTAATGAGATTATGAGAAGTAGAGTAATTGTAAATCAACAAATCTAACCTTCTCAGGTATTTTTCCCTTGCCAATAAATTTTGCAAGATCAAGCATAAGATGGTCCATACTCCGTTGACTATGGAGTTTAGGCTTTCTATTTGATGAGGACTCTCCATCACCACTGGATGTTTGTTCAGTGTCCTCTACAGAAAAAGTAAATGACAAACGACTCTTCCTCTCCAGCGTAGCTGGTATTCGAAGTAAATCTTTACGACGAGCACTGCTAGACATATTCTGTACAAGGCGACCAACAACCACCTTAATAGCAACTTGACTCTGTTCTTCATTGTCTCTAGTCCCAGTATCTGTATCCAATTCAATGACATTCTGCTCTTCATTGTTTTCAACTTTAATATCTACTTCAGCATCTACTACTTCTAATTCAATGTCCTCTTCAAAGTCATCTTCATCTACCTCACTATCCACTGTTTCTAAATCAATGTCCTCTTCATCTTCATCTTCATCATCGTCATCATCAAGTACTTGTTCAATGACTTTTGATATTAAATCCCTATCCACCTTGGCTGGAGCTGTTACTTTTAGAACTTTGACCTTCACACCAGGAACCATATCTCGTAATTTATTCTCAAAACCAGAATCATCATCCCTATTTTCATCATCTTCTGAAACTTCTTTACCTTTTCCAAATAGATCATCTTTGTATTCAGTTGGAGATAGAGAGTCCAAGTTACGGGTACCAGAAAACATAGGGGTAGGAATTGTTGAATCCTGAGGAGCTGTCCTCTGCTTTAAGTAGACAGCCTGAAATCATGTTTCATGTGACCTTTTTGATACTAGTTAAGGGGTATAGTACACCACTAAAAACAGTGCAGCTCAAAGGAAGAATAAGGCATGTTTACTTCAAAAAATCAAAATGGTCCTAACATATCGATCTGTGCAACAAAGGGGAAAAAGGATAGGGATAATAAGAACAAAAGGAAGCACTACATATTCTATCAAGTATCAACAATGAACCTATTCAAGATTGGCACCACATCAGTAAAGTTTTTCCCAAAAGAACAAATATTAAGTATCTTGACATTTTTCTTTAATAAAACGTGAAATTTTACTAATGCTGCATTAATATAATTATCATGAATAGTAAATTAAAAAATAACAAAAGTTTATTCCCTTCACTTGTCATTTTTTACTTTCAAATAATCATATTAGAAATAATTAGTAACTATACTTTCAAGTAATATACCTGCTGCTTATAATTGCCATGCTTATTCATTCTCAGAAATATCTCAAAGATGGGTGCACCATCTACAGCTGAAGCAAGCTGTCTGCAAGTGAATGTATTTCAATAAGATACATACTCCTCTTTAAGAAAGAACATTTTATATTGAGTACAAAGGAAGAATTAATCAATAAATTTACCTTGGACTATATGTTTTGGCAACATATCTTCCATGCTCAGCGCTAATATGAATAATACGACCATATGGGTCATCACAATCATCTGAAATTCCAGACCACCATCCCACCTATGTTCAGATAAATTCTGTTTTATTCCATAATTACAGCATCCCCAGAAAATAAATACAATGAGTATACACATCAACCATCACCCAGCATACCATAACCCACTCCTCTTTGGGTGTTAGTCTGCTGTCTACACAGCTACACAACAAAGGTAGAAGACTAGAAACTGTGGTAGTGGGTGGATGGATGGAACAAGTGATGGCAAGAAAAGCATACTCACAGATTGGTAACAGGCCATGAATACATTTATTAATAAGGCTGAAAAGTGTACCTCATATTTAAGAGCTAGTGAATTAGATAAATAATATTTCCAATAGGCAACTAGCATATTTATCACTTTATGCATGATTAGTTGATTACTAAACAAAATCAAATTACCAATATCTAGCAATAGGTATTATAGTTACCATATCATATCGTATAAACTAACTTACCAACCCAGCACCAGCATGATCACGTATGAAAGCTGCATCTGCATACAGCTCTTCCTTCACAGCATTCTGTATTTAAACTCCAAAAAGTTATAGTGAAGTCAGAAATAGGAAAAGAATTAATTAATTTATTATTTAATTACTCAGTATTTTATTTAATTTTTATGAGGAGTGGTTTGATATTAATGAGTTATGACAGTAAATTGGCAACAAGAAGAAAAACATTAAGAATTTAGTGGAAGACAATGGATGATTTGAAGAGAACTGTGATGGAATTCATACATTTAGATGAGATATCACTTTTCCCACAGTGTCATTTGTAGCTGCAGCAGCAATCCCCACCTTAAGCTTTGCAGCCTCTTCATAATCCTCTCGACCAATAGCACCTGCTAACTGCGACTGAAGACATAATCCACTTGAGACTAGTCATAATTCACATTAACAGATACATAGTATTATATGCTCCGTATATGTTTCTAATTGAAAAATACTGATAAATAGCTTTGAAACATTAAGTGCGAACAGCAGGGAACAGATTCTGCCATGAGGTTTGCAACTAGTAAAACTCCCACTTCCAACCAGCAAAATATTCAACAAGGGATCGATATATGCAACAATTTATAATATAACGAAAAAAACACTAATCCAACCTTCAAAATGGAAACCATTTGCTCTTGCTCCTCAACTTCTGTAAAATGCTTTTTCCACCGCTCCCAATCCCAATCCCCATCCTCGCTCTTCCTCTCCGTAACACCACCACTCTCGGACTCGCTCCAATTCGAGTTCACAAAACTATCGAACCTCTTCAGCACATTTTTAACCGCCTCTTGAATCGCGGAGTCCCACTTCCACGACGGAGAAACGTTTTCAGACGCCGACGGCGAGGAATCCGCGCCATCTCTGTCGCTGCTTCGGCAGCGGCAGCAGAGAGAATGCTCCGAAACCTTAAATGCAGAAAGAGGGCTCGCGAGGGAGTGAGAGCTGAAGAAAAGCGGTGAAGGCCGCTTCAATCGGGATGTGAACTTTCCGACGGAGAAGTTGAAATTGGAAAAGTTTGGATCAATGCAAGTGGAAGGAGATCGAAATGTTGGCGGAGCAATCGACGCCATGTGAGAAGTATCGAACAATACTCGATAGGAAGCAGTTTTATGTGTATGTGTAAATGTTGCATATAGAGAGAACCTGAAGCTGAAAGAGGGAGCGTAAAGCCAAGGAAGATAGAGAGTGGCTAAGGTGGAGAAAAGCCAATGTATTTAGCGAACATTAAAAAATAAAAAGAAACAAGAATATAAGGAGAAAACAAAAAAAAGTGGATTTATGCAGAAAACAAATAGATAATGTTTTTTTTTTTTTTTTTCAATTTCGTCCTAAACACTTAGGTGATATTCTCAAATTTTTTGTGTTTATTTAATTTAGTGATCTGTTTGTTATTTTGGCCCTGTTTGATAAAAAAATTAGCCTATAGGTCAATTTTGGCTTATTTGACCACTATTAATTGTTTGATTTAGTTAAAATATCAATATAAATGTTTGGTTAATTAGCTTTTTGCAACTCCAAAAGGCTAAAATTCAAAATGCTACTTCAAGCAACTTTTTCAATTAGCTTTTTAAGAAAAGAAATTACACCAAACAGCTATCAGCTAACAGCTAATTTACCAAACACTTTTCTACAATCAGCTAATGTTGTCAACTATTTATACCCTCTAATTAACACAATCAGCTAACAACTAACCGCTATCAGCTAACAGCCATCTTACCAAACAGGGCCTTTGTCAAATTGGTGTTAAATAAATTGACAATTAGTAATCTTAATATTGATCTCTCTTTACTTTCAGTCATGTGAAGTGCGTAATTCATTTTTCTTTTACGAATTACTCTGCGAATCAAATTTTATGAAAGATTTCACACTTTGCAAGACTACATTAAGTCACCAAAGTCGTTTAAAACGAAAGTGAAAAAAATCATTATAGTCAATGACCATTTTGAATATTAATTCATTTAGTTTGTTTGATAACCCAAATTTTCGAACTTTATAGTATATTCTGTCAACATCAAAGTATACACTTCTGCTTACAAATAGTATAATCTAACCTAAACACTCAATTTGTGAGAAGAGTCGAAATCATGCCATGTTGTTGGATTTATTTATTTATTTTAATACAATAGGTTTCACGCTTATGTTAGCTGGATTTATTTATTTAGCATGCTACATATGGTATATTAACGTACCACTGATCTAATTTGTTCGAATTGTATGGCCCGCAATGTTTGACTTTCACTTATGTATAATAGTTCAAATCGAACTATAAAAACTTGTGTGACAAACTCGATCAAAAGAGTGTTGAAAATAATCAAACAAATAATCCATTAGTATAAGAAATGCTCTCATACTTGCTCGTTCTTTTCGGGATCATATGTTATATACAGATTTTTTGAGTGATGAGAAAATTCTTAACCACTATCCAAAGGTGTGCATTGAATAAACTCATATTGTGATCCTAGTCAGCAAATGACCATAATAAGGTAAACTAACTAACATTTCTTGTGACTATAGCTGGTAAAGGACCACAATAAAGTAAACCAACATGTCACAGTCGGCTAAAATTTAAAAAAAAAATCAATAAACTGCTCTCATTAAAAATTAAATTCAAAATTTTGTAATTACCAAATCGGACCAACTTAACTAGGATTACTACACATTTTTTCATTATTATTATTATTTTTAAATCTGTGGTGGTTTTGTATAGTTCTCCATAGTATATTCTGTATTCTTTGGTGGTGGTCTATTTAGTTGTGGATGTACCCCGACTGGATTCTGTGGCGAGCAATTTTCATTTTTGGTGGCGGCTGTTCTATCGCCTACACCTAGTCCGGACAAAACAAACATGGTCAAATGTTAATTATTAAGGAGACGACCGGACAATTATTCAAAATCCAATAATTATTTCTCAAACCCATTATTCAGCCCACAACCCGGACCAAATTTTCTTCTCCACCCACTCGTCAGGGCTCACGGATGAGACCCATTAGCTATTGGTTGGCAAATTATGCTATGCGCACGGCGCTAAAACGGCGTCATTTTCACTGTTTTAACTAAAAAAAAAAAATTTGTTCGAAACGTCGTTAACGGCGTTAACGGCATATTCGTTATGAAATTATGAATATACAGTTATGACATTATGAATGTACAGTTATAGAATTATGAATGTATAGTTATGGAATTATGAACTTACAATTATGAATATAGAGCTTCGAAAATTATGAATGTTCGGTATGGAATTATGAATATACAGTATGGAATTATGAATGTACAGTTATGGAATTATGAATGTACAGTTATGAAATTATGAACATAGAACTCTGACATTATGAACTTACAATTATGAACATAGAGCTTCGAAAATTATGAATTTATAGTTATTGAATTATGAATGTACAGTTACGGAATTATGAATGTACAGTTATAGAATTATGAATGTACAATTATGGAATTATGAATGTACAGTTATGAAATTATGAACACAAAGCTGTGAATATATGCTCCTATAACGAAACGGTCTGAAATTAAATTTAAAAAAGAAAAAAAAAAAAAAAGGAACACCGTTATCCGTGCCCATGAAGCACGCTGGGCACGAGCCCACAGCATAACTATCCCTATTGGTTGGTTGAAGCACAAACGTGAGGAGGGGAGGGGTGATTGGATTGGAGATGGGAGACGAAAGGGTGAAGACCGAGGCGATGCAGATACTGGGAATGTTTCAGGTTTTGCCTCGTTTGGTCGTCTTTGATCTCGACTACACTATCTGGCCATTCTACTGGTAAACACCCTTGACACCTGCATCTATATATCATGTATGTATGTATAATGTATAGCCTTGGTGTGCTGCTTATGCTCCTGTTTTGGACTCTGGATATGACTGCAAAAACACAAGAGAAACACTTCATCGTATCTGTTTGTTCATCCATTGTAGTTTTTTTTTTCCTTGATTTTCTGAAATTGGGAGAATTGAAGCCCTTTTTCCTCAAAAGTAGAACAGGGAGCTAGTCTCAAGAAGAAAAAGGTGGGAGCTTTGATGTTGGGCCCGCTTGGTAAACCAATCAACTATCAGCAAAGTGTCAAACACCATATAAGATAAACCAATCAGCTATGAGCAAATTGTCAAAAACCATGCTTTGAAGTTACATAGATTACTGTATTTGGGGGTGTTTGGTAAATAGCTGGTAGTTGTTAGCTGATTGGGTTAGTGGGTTTAAGTAGTTGATAGCATTAGCTGATTGTAGAAAGATGTTTGAATTTGATTAAATGCAAAATGACTTTCTCAAAAAGCTTATCGAAAAAGTTGCATTGAGCAGTTTTTTAATTTTAGCATTTTGGAGCAATAAACTGTTACAAAAAAACTAATTAATCAAACACTTATATTGAATGTCAAACGGCTAATAGTGGTCAAATAAGTCGAACAGCTAATAGTGGTCAAATAAGTCAGAATTGGCTGATAAGCTAACTATGTTACCAAACAAGGCCTTTGTCTCCCTTTCTTTTTATTTTATTTTTCTGAATGTGATTTTGTAGGTTTAGTATGAACTATGAAGTATGAGATAAGTTTGCCTGTATTGACTTTGTTTTTGCTTTCAAGAGACTCTTGTGCCTTTGATCCGCTAGTGCTGTGCTTTTCTTGCAAGGATGCATGATGCATCAACTAGTTCAATGTGCTGTTATTGGAAACTGCGGGCAATGCTATGAAATGATAAATATTGCGAACATGGGATAGCATTTAATATCATTTTGAACTGTTATCTCTGTGCTTATCTTTCAGTGAATGTCGTTCCAAACGTGAAATGCCCAAATTGTATCCTCAAGCAAAAGGTATTTTATATGCCCTCAAGGACAAGGGAGTTAATGTTGCTATTGCCTCAAGATCTCCCACTCCAGACATAGCCAACGCTTTCCTTGAAAAGCTGGAGATAAAATCAATGTTTGCAGCACAGGTGAGATATTTTGGGATTTATTCTTAACTCATGGCGTCCAAACCTTTTTATAGATAACCTTAACTTAGGGCTACTGGTATTTTCTATTTAACCGTATATCAATGAGCATAACATCCATGTGCCTTATGATCGTTATTTTCCCTATTCCTCTGTAAATTTTGAATGGTTGGTTATTAGCCTTGCAAGGCAATCATGTTTAACAACTTTATATTGCTCTCAGGAGGTGTTTTCCAGTTGGTCACACAAGACGGAACATTTTCAAAAAATCCACAGAAGAACTGGGGTGCCTTATAAAGAAATGCTGTTTTTCGATGATGAAAATAGGAACATAGATGCAGTAAGACTGTCCCTTGCTATTCACATCACTCGTGGTTTTTTTGCTAATACCCGGTTCTGAAGAGCATCTTTAGAACAGAAACTGCCAGAAATTTAAGAACACTTTTACTTAACTAGTGTTTGCTTCTCTAGGTCTCTAAAATGGGTGTGACAAGCATATTGGTGGGCAAAGGGGTGAATATTGGAGCTTTGAGGCAAGGGCTCTTGGAGTTCACTCAGAATTTCACATCATCGGAAAAGAACAAAGAAAGATGGCGTAAATTTTCACAGAAACCTGGTTCATCGCAAAGAGATGAACAACAATGAAGTTCTACTCACATCACAGAGATTTGCTGTGAAAAATATGGCTTGGGTCTTGATCCCATTAATTTCTGTCAACTTATTATACTGCAAACATGGTCACATGGATATAACCATTTTTGTGTCTAAATGTGTTGTAAGGAGTCTGTATTGAGAAACAGTAATTGGTTACTTTAGCATGTGGTCTTCTGAGATGGTTGTTCTTTTGTTGTATAGCAATGAACTGTCATATGTCCATGGTATCTCCTCAGAGAATGAATGACATGGCAAGAAGTCATAAGAAATGGGAAAACCTGCTTGTGTTTAGTAGGAAAATGAAATTTAAGAAGGATATATAATGTTTTCTCATGTAAAGAGTAACAAAAAAAAATTGACACAAACACTTCTTTGATAAACAACAAAGAAATCAGTCTCAAGTCATTACAATGGAAAGCAAATGCTCATTGCTCAAAACAATGACATACAAGAAGCTGTCCACATTTTGGAAGAATGTTTGATGTCCACAAAAGAAGCTTTGTGGAATTTCTAGCTTGACTTGGTGGAGTAACCAGCTATTACCTGCCCGCAAGAAGTCCTAATAGTTCAGCTCCTTCAAAGGAACTCTTTCATCCATTTGTTGGTCAAGTCCTTTCCTAGACAGTAAGAGGGTTGTTTTTACAGTTCCGCAAGTATAATCATCATCCCTCATAATATGATTGATATCAAGATCACTTTTGCCTTCAGAATGCTTCAACATTTTCCCCAAAATTTTAGCAAGTTCATCATCCTCATCCAGAGACTTGTCAAATCTTGTGCACATTCCATCCAATTGCAGTAATAAACTATCCCTGTCATGTGATAGTTTCTGGGTTTCATGGAGCAGATCATTTTTCTGGGACTCAAGCTCCTCATTTCTACCCTCAAGTCTCATCTGCTCCATACCAAATTGAGTTTTCAGTTCTTCTAATTCCACTTTGCTTGCTTCCAACATAGTGTCGAGCTCCTCCACCTTCTTGTTTGAATTCAACAAGGATTTTTCATGGAATTCCAGTTTCTGAAGCAAATCACTAACCTTCATGTCCAATTCAGCAATCACCTTGTTTTTTGATTCAACCTCAAGAATTTTTGAACTCTCAGCCTTCTGCAGAGTTTCATTAAGCAAGTTCTCTTTTTCTTTGACAACAGTTTCTAGATTTTTCTCTAAAACTTTTGCCTGCTCCATAAGATCATGAATTCTTTCATCTCTCACTTTCAGAATCATCAAAAGATTCTGCTTCTCTTTCTCAAACATCAGAAGGGCATCTGATTTTGCATGCTCATTTTTCAGTTCACTGTTAGCCAATTCTTGCTTCAACTGAGTGATTTAGAAAGATCTGAAGATCTTTGATGTTGCCATCCTTATCTTCCATAACTTCAAAGTACTGAATATTTTCTTTCTTTAAAGCTTCCACAGCCTCTGCTCTTGCAATTGCCACCAACTCCAGTTCTGATATCTTTAGTTGCAAATCAGTTATCTTGGAATCTTGCTCTTTTACAATGCCACAAAGACTCTCATTCTCCTTTTCATAGGCTAGCTGGTTCTTTTTAAGGTCTGCTTCCAGATGCTCTGTCACAGATTTCCACTTCTCCGCTTCAAGTTTACTATCCATGAGTTCACTTGTTCTTTCAGCCAAATCAAGGTTAGCTTTTTCTAAAGCCTCAGAAGCACCTTTGCTTTCTAGGAGAGCATTTTCCATTTGCAGCATTTGTTTATTGGTGCGAAGTTTGTACTCAGCTAATTCTTCCACCATTTCTTTATACCTTCTGATTTCTGCCTCTATGGCCATTGTTTCTTCACATTTTACTTTTAGATCAGCACAAACTTTATTGTGTGCAATATCAATCGATTCCAACTGCTCTTTAAGAAGAACAATTTTGTTGTCCTTCTCCTTATTGTGCAACTCCAATTCTGCAATTCCAGTTGAGAGCTGCTTTCTGGCCACAGGGAATTCAGACTGCAACACAAGCATTAATATGGAAGTTTCTTCATTTTGAACATACATTGAATAATGGCAGCCCTCTAGCTCCTTCTCTAATTTTTCAATTCTTTTACTTTTAACCTTTAGCTCAGACATGCATTCTTTCACATCTTCTGTCAACTTTTCAATTTCAGAACTCAATTTAGCTTCCTTTTCTTTGTATTGAAGCGAGTACTTACTGTGCAACTGCTCCAGTGAGTTAAATCTGGTTTGCAGTTTTTTCAGAGAAGAGCTGGCAGCAGCATCATTGAGTTTTGTATCTTGAAGCTCCTTAAGGGATGCACATAAATCCAACTTCTCTTGCTCTAGCTGTGAAACTCTGAATTTCATTTCCTTGAACAGAGTTTCTTTTGTTCTTAATAAGTTTCGAAGTTCTCCAATTTCTTCATCTCTCTTGAAGGTCAAATGCTCAAGCTTTGATTTAGTTTCTTGGCATTCTAGCAAGATGTCATCACATCGAGATTTGAAGTCAGACACTTCCACTTCGAGAACCTTTCTTCTGCTTTCCTCATGAGCTAAAGCTTGGTTACAGAGCCTCAACTGAGTCTCAAGATCTTGTGAGATTCTAATCTGGGAATCTAAGCTTGTCTGCAAGGAAGAAATCTCTTCAAGCAGTTCTGATTTTTCCTTTCCCCATTCAG